TTGATAGTTGTGTAAATATTGTCATACTAACAGCTGTCTGAATTTTTGGTTGATTGTAATCCATTACATACATTTCTGTCAAAGTTATGTGACATTATCAAGATAATTTTGTTCTGACACAGTTTAACTCTGAGTTCTTGTCATATTTTATTACCATTTTCTAAACTATAGCAAATAAACTGTGATAATGTGAGAAATGTTGAAGGTGTCTGAATACATTTTGGTTTGACTGTATATTTCATTTGTACAGTGAAGACTATGCAGTGCTATTTTACATTTAATTATTTGTTTTCTGTACCTGGACACCTACAAACTTGAAAACATTGTGTAAACAGCACAAATAAATAAATAAATAAATAGAACAAACATACAAATTAAACAATTTCAAACAGGGTCCACTGGTACAACCTGCACCGGGGCCCCGCAAACCCCAGCTACGGCCCTGATTCTACCATCCCTACATCTGCAACCAGAAGAACCACAAACTTATTTTTTTACAGAGGAATGTTAAGGTTTGTGTAAACATATGTATAACTCAAACAAGTGGTGTTTGCCGTGAAACAAAAATGACCACAGTGGTTAAACCAAGTAAAATAAAAACAAGAGGTTTTGCAATGCCAATACATAGAGGTATTCAATTTTAAAGAATTAGGGAAAATAAAAATGGTCAAGCAACCTCCATTGGACCGCTTGAGATGAACTGACCCCTGTATATTGTCCAATAACAATGACTGCATTACATTATAATTAAGTTTTTTTTTTCTCTACATGTTTATACATCTGTGCATAAAGATACCTTTATTCATGCCTTTGTTTAATGTAGACTGCAGCCGTTCACAAGACATTTATTAGTGCCACTGATCAGCAGGCAAGACTCATAATTGAATAACACAATTGAGTGTTTTATAAGTTTAATCTCTGACTGACTGTTTCTGTTTGTTCATCAGGTGTGTTTGGTGAGTCAGTGTCAGTGATGGAGGGAGATTCTGTCACGCTACACACTGTTACTGAACTTCAGGGAGATGAAGAGATTGTGTGGAGGTTTAACAAAACTCGCATAGCTAGAGTGATAATGAACAATGCTACATATGATGATGTTGTGAGATTCCGAAACAGACTGCAGCTGGACAATCAGACTGGAGATCTTAAGATCAAAAACTTCACAGTCCCAGACTCTGGACTTTATAAGTTTGAGATCACCAGCCCCAGAGTGTCCTCAGACACGACGTTCAGTGTCAGTGGTGAGTGTCTCAGTTTGTAATTCAATAATTATTATTTACATAATTATTTATCACTCTGTGAACATTTTTAATTGTCTGGATGCAAAATGTTACTGGCAAACTGCCAGGAAAAAAATAATAATAATCAAAAACCAAATAATCATTCAGTAGTTTTTCAAAACTGATATATTGAGCGTGAAAAAATTCCTTAATGAGACCCAGTGGCCCAGACAAACAGACATGAGGCAAATGATGGACAACTCATGCGGTTTATTGTGCAAACAAAAATCTTAATAATGAAATAAAATAAAAAAGATTTCATGCATAATGATAATTTTAATAATAATTAAAAGAGAACTGAAAAAGAGAACTGAATTGTCTGACTTACCTTTGTGAAATTGTTAAAAATGCAAATTCACACTCTGACAGTAGGTGGCACAAAACAAAGTTGCAATATAACGTTTCCTTGGTTACCGCTGAACACAAAGTAGAAATGCCATCGAAACTTTTCTGAAGACAGTCAGTTCCCTTTAGAGGTACATTCATATAATCCTCAACCCCAATTCAATAATCAGAATTTTCATAAAATATTTTGAGCATTACAGACCTGCTACATTATTTTCTCTGCTGGCACATCTGTTCTCTCCTCTTCTTCTAAAGCCTTGATTAAACTTTCGCCTGACTCCGCACCACAACCTCCTTGAAAGGATGAGGCATTTATACTTGTCACGCTCACCATTGTACTATTATTTGAAATGACAGGGGGCGACTTGGAGTAACTGTCCTGTACACAAGCAGCAGTGAGAAGCTTTCATTAAAAGGCTTATTTATGCTGTTGTAGGCTCATTTTGTAAATGTAAGATATTAATTTAAATTTTAGACAAGAGCAAACTGGGTGTTTAACGCAAATGTAATTGGTCACATTTACAAAATCTGGCGATTATGTACGCCTGTCTATGCAAATGTATCTTTATGTATCCACCTTTTTCCGAATGAGCCAACTACGCTTTAAATTATGGGAGGCACTTCCGGTTTGAGGAAGTTCCACTCAAAAAGACTGAAACAAATCATTTCAAATCATAAGGTTTCACTACAAATAATCCTTAGCAGTTTGACTGAATGAGCTGTAAATTGTTTTGTGAAAGTCAGAAGAATAGCATAATGCGTAGTATTTAAAGATCTTAGAATCTCAGAGTCTTTCTTCACTGATGGAGATGAAGCTGGTGTTTAGTGTGTCCTGTTCAGTGAAGCTTATAGCTGAGCACTGGTGATGGTCTGTTTTACTAACTAGTTGATTAGTTTGCTTTCCTCTTTCAAGACAGTAGTATGTGGAACAGCCTTCAATTACGTACCAAAACAACATCAGACTGATGTGTTTCTGCAGAAATATACTTGTGTTTGGACATTTTTAAACCAGAATTTGACTTACAAGTGTATTTAAAGGGGTCATATGATGCGATTTCAATTTTTCCTTTCTCTTTGGAGTGTTACAAGCTCTTGGTGCATAAAGAAGATCTGTAAAGTTGTAAAGACTGAAGTCTCAAATCCAAAGAGATATTCTTTATAAAAGTTAAGAGTCAACCACGCCCTCCTAAAACGGCTCATTCTAACACACCCCCACATATCTACCTCACTATGTGGGAAGATTTGCATAACGCCGCCCAAATGTTCACGTAAAGAAAGAAGGTTGTTGAATTGTTGTTGCCGCCGCCATGTCATGAAGGCGTTGTGTTTCATTGTGAAAGCGAAACTACTTTGTTTGGCCTTCCAAAAGAGGACGATATCTGCTTCGTCA